AGCGGCCCCTCCTCGGGCCGGTACCGCCTCTCCACCCGCTCGGACCTCTCGCTGGGCTCCCGCAGCAGCCAGCAGCCCGGGCCCCACCACCCCGGCGGCGGGGCCAAGAGCTCGGCCACTGTGAGCCGCAACCTCAACCGCTTCTCCACCTTCGTCAAGTCCGGAGGGGAAGCCTTCGTGCTGGGCGAGGCCTCCGGCTTTGTGAAGGACGGAGACAAGTTGTGTGTGGTGCTGGGCCCCCGGGGCCCCGAGTGGCAGGAGAACCCCTACCCCTTCCAGTGCTCCATCGAGGACCCCACCAAGCAGACCAAGTTCAAGGGCATGAAGAGCTACATTGCCTACAAGCTGGTACCCAGCCACACGGGGCAGCAGGTGCACCGCCGCTACAAGCACTTTGACTGGCTCTACGGGCGCCTGGCGGAGAAGTTCCCTGTCATCTCTGTGCCCCACCTGCCCGAGAAACAGGCCACAGGCCGCTTCGAGGAGGACTTTATCTCCAAACGTCGCAAGGGCCTGGCTTGGTGGATGGACCACATGTGCAGCCACCCGGTGCTAGCTCAGTGCGATGCCTTCCGACACTTTCTCACCTGCCCCAGCACTGACGAAAAGGCCTGGAAGCAGGGCAAGCGCAAGGCCGAGAAGGATGAGATGGTGGGAGCCAATTTCTTCCTGACCATCAGCATCCCCTCTGGTCCTGGTGCTGCCTTGGATCTACAGGAGGTGGAGAGCCAAGTGGATGGCTTCAAGAGCTTCACCAAGAAGATGGATGAGAGCACCATGCAGCTCACCCACACCGCCAATGAATTTGCCCGTAAGCAGGTCACTGGGTTCAAGAAGGAATACCAGAAGGTGGGGCACTCCTTCAAGGGCCTCAGCCAAGCCTTTGAGCTGGACCAGCAGGCATTTTCTGCCAATCTCAACCAGGCCCTTGCCTTCACCGGGGAAGCCTACGATGCCATTGGGGAATTTTTTGCAGAGCAGCCCCGACAGGACCTTGACCCCGTGATGGATTTGTTAGCACTATATCAGGGGCATCTGGCCAACTTCCCAGACATCATTCACGTCCAGAAAGGTAACATCCCCGTGTCTGTTGTTCTGTTCAGTCTCTATTGCTCTGTAGTCTGAGTGCAGATGTAGAAACCAGGAATGCTAAGTGCTAATCCTAGTTCAGCCACTGTTTTGTGGTTAAAGACTAATGTATTTACTCATTGAGGCAGAACTGCCATTGAGCTTAAATGCAGTAGTACAAAAGTTTAATTCCATGTCACAGGCCCATACTTCAGGATTAGGCCTAAAATAGTCATCTTTGTCTATAAAATGAGAATTAATACCTGCCTATGCTAGAGATATGTTGGAAGGTTGGTTTCAATGAATGAAGTGATGTAAAAGCATCTGTTAGTATAATTAATATCTTAAAACAGTCTGATTTTTTTAAAGATTTAATCTGAAGTCATCTGAGAACATAATGCTGCAGTTATAATTCCTTTCATCCTATCAGTCAAAGCATTTTACAATCAGTATTTACAAGCACCCATTTAGAAATATCGGTCCCATTTTCATATGGGGGAACTGATTCTCAGAGCAAGAATGAATTGCTTGACGTGTCAGACCATAACCTTGTATTACGTGCATTTTACAGTGTAAAATTTGGAATTAGATATTGAAAGCGGCTCGTGTCTTTTCTGCTGTGGCAGGACCCTTAGGCCTGGCCTGCACCTAAAAGTAGGTAGACTTAGTTACATCAATCCCCTTTCCCCAGAGCTCAATAGCAGGGATGGAGAACTTAAGGCCCCTAGCTTGCGTAGATCCATCCCCCAAGGCTCATGCCCTCCCGCCGGCACTGAGGAGCCCTTGCTGGCATTCCAGCCTCCCCATAGGACTGGAAAACACACAATCTGCTAGATTGGGCCTCCCTAGGTTCTGGTGTGGGAGGGGAATGTGGAGAGTGTCTTGCTCCTTCTCAGTCAGTGCCCACATCAGTGAGGGGTCTTTTTTTTTTTTTTTTTTTTAAGGGTTTTTTTCTGCACTTCTCACTTGGGTCCCAACTCATTTTTCTGTGGGTTAGTGGCCCCCGACCCAAAAAAGGTTCCCCACCCCTGATGTATAGAGAGCTCTATGTCAGCCTATCTACTGCCTCTTGAGGGAGTCAGTTTACTACAAGGATGGAAAAAACACTTTGATCCCTGTAGTAAATGTCTGAACTACAGTGTTGCTATGTCTACAGTAGCAGCTGAGCAACTTGTTGTTCAAAGGTGCTAATAAACAGCCACCCTGAAAGACAAAAGTTTTGCTCCAGCAAGTGCCATTGTGAACAGCGCATTCTGGATAGGAGTATAGGGAGTGGAAGTATTTTGTCAGCACAAGTACCAACAAACAGCAGTTACGCTGCCTGACTTTTAGTGACAGCACATGGCTAAAAGCTGTGTAACCATAATCTGAGGGTCTATAACACTTTTGTGAGTGTAATAGTTTGCTGCAGTATTCTTAGTTAAAATTTCTTATTCTTCCTTTTGCAATCTCAGAGGGTTCTGTTCACTGTTGTCATCCTAGCTACTGCTTTTACCCTGAGATGTGATGGTGATTCTGAATGGTGTTGTGTAAGGCGCTTTGGATTCATTAGAGGGAAAGTAGCTATCCTGCAACAGAAGGTCATCTATATCAGGTGTGATCAAACCAAGCTCTGTTGTAGTTGAAGTTTGACTTAAGGAGCTGCCCCTCCCAAGCTTTTCCCATTTTTCACCTACCAGTGTGGGTGAAGGGGAAGGTGACATGCCTTTTTAAGTTTTTGCTTTTGAGATCAACACCTCAAAACAAAGGAAACACGGTTTGATTTAAAAGTCCATGTTACTGTTGGAATCACAGATTTCTGGGAAAATCTGAGGTGCCAGAATTCACAGCATCACCGTAATACACTTCCAGCTTTGGTTGAAAAGCAATTTTTGTTGTACTGTATCTTTTATGACATGGAAAGACTCATCCAAATCAGATTTGTTTCACTGTAAAGTTTTGAAGAGGAGAAAATGTATGCTAATCTTTTTGTTTGGGAAAAATCCACTTGTTGGCATTACTCTGATTTAACTTTATAATATTTGGTGTAAGTTAAAGAGCTAGATCCTGATAAAGTATGTTTTGTTTTGGAAGTGGAGAATTTTAAAGGAATTCAGTAACCAACTTTAAAAAATACCATCAATAAGATTTAAAAAAAAAATAAACATACAGATTTATCAGTAGAACACTGTGTTTAACAAGTATGTACTGAAGCTTTAGTTTTTATTTTAATAGAGGTTTTTCTTTATTAGGCCTCTTCATAAGCACTGGAGTTTGCCTTCATGGAACTCATTGCAGACTTGAGACTAGGGAGAGCACATGTGAAAAATTAAAATAATGTTTAATTTTGATTGTTTGATTTGGGAACAGGGGCTGGTTATCTATAACAGGAGCATAAGCTTTCGTGGGCAAAGACCCACTTCGTCAGATGCATGTCAGACATGCATCTGAATGATGTGTGTGTTGCCCATGAAAGCTTATGCCCCCAATAAATCTGTTAGTGTCTAAGGTGCCACAAGACTCCCCCCCCCCCCCCTTTTTTTAGTTAAATTATAGAAATTTCTATATTTGGCTTCTTGCTGAATGTAGACAACAAGGGAATTTACTTCATATTTAAATCGCTCCTTGTAATTATGACGTTCGGCTTTAATATATGAATGTTTGTTTTGTTCTTTACAAAAAATTTAACTTCAGGAGCAGCAGACGGTCCATAAAAATGAGGTGGGAGGTTTCTTGAAATGGGAGGGCATAGCCCTCCCATTTTTAAAAGTGGTGGTGCCGTGGTTCACTGGCCCTCTCTGTTCTGATGCCCCTATTTATAATAATGTCATGATGTTGATTTCCGCTAGGGAGGGCATACTTAATTTTTTCTGCCTTTGAGATTCACAGCATTTCCTCTTTTTATTTACAGGAATAACTTAATCATGCCTGCATCCTGTGCATCCCTCTCCTGACAATTATTTCACAATCAGCAACGTGTATAGTAAGCTGCCTTAGTTACTGTGACCAAGTTACCTAATAGGTTTTAGTGAAAACACTTGGTTTGTTCTCATAACATCTTATCAAAATTTTGGCTGAAAATGGATAGAAATGCCATCCAGTTGATGATGTATTCAGAATTAGAATCATAGAACTGGAAGAGACATCAGGAGGTCATCAAGTCCAATCCCCTGCCCAAGGCAGGACCAATCCCAACTAAATCAACCAAGCCAAGATTTAAAAATGTCTAGGGATGGAGACTCCACTACCTCCCTAGGTAACCCATTCCAGTGCTTCACTACCCTCCTAGTGAAATATTTTTTCCTAATATCCAACCTAGAGCTCTTCATCTGTAACTTGAGACCATGCTCCTTGTTTTGCCATCTGTCACTACTGTGAACAGCCTTTCTCTGTCCTCTTTGGAACCTCCCTTCAGGAAGTTGAAGGCTGCTATCAAATCCTCCCTCCCTCTTCGCTTCTGCAGACTAAACAGACCCAAATCCCTCAGTCTCTCCTCATAGGTCATGCGCTCTGGCCCCCTAATCATTTTGGTTTCCCTCTGCTGGACCCTCTCCAATGCATCCACATCCTTTCTATAGTGGGGTACGGGGACCCAGAACTGGACACAGTACTCCAGATGTGGCCTCACTAGAGCTGAATAAAGGGGAATAATCACTTCTCTGGATCTACTGACAATGCTCCTCCTAATGCACCCCCCAGCCTGTAACAATGCTTGGGATTCTTCCATCCCAAGTGCAGGAGTCTACATTTGTCTTCGTTGAACCTCATCAGATTTCTTTTGGCCCAATCCTCTAAGCTGTCTAGGTCATTCTGGACCCTATCCCTGCCCCCTAGCTTAGTGTCATCTGCAAACTTGCTGAGGGTGCAATCCATCCCCTCATCCAGGTCATTAATAAAGATGTTGAACAAAACTGGTCCAAGAACAGATCCTGGGGCACTCTGCTAGAAACCGATCACCAACTTGACATCGAGCCATTGATCACTACCCATTGGGCCCGACAGTCTAGCCAGCTTTCTGTCCATCTTACAGTCCATTTATCCAATCCATACTCCCTTAACTCGCTGGCAATTATTTCACTCTTTTTTTGAGGTCAAGCTCCTTCCCACTTCCATACCACCTGGACACAATTTGCTAGCCACTGTATATGGGCTCCTTCCACTTTCATCCTCTTCTTCCCTGTTGACTCACAGCAGGAGAATATCAGATATATAGTCCCTGCCATAGGCTCAGCAGGGCTTGAGCACCCACAGGGGAAATTAGACTTCCCTCCATGATTTTTCCACAGACTGAGGTAAGGCTGACCAGTCTGTAGTTCCCTGGATTGTCCTTCTTCCCTTTTTTAAAGATCGGCACTACATTTGCCTTTTTCCAATCATCCAGGATCTCTCCCAATCTCTACGAGTTGTCAAAGATAATGTCCAAAGGCTCCGCACGCAATGACATTTGCCACCTCCCTCAGTAACCTCAGATGCATTAAATCTGGGCCCATGGATTTGTGTATGTTTAGCTTTTCTAAATAGTTTCTAACTTGCTCTTTCCCCACCAAGGATTGTCCACCTCCTTCCCATACTGCGTTGCCTAGTGCATTTGTCTGGGAGCTGACCTTGTCCATGAAGACCGAGGCAAAGAAAACATTGAGTACTTCAGCTTTTCCCACATCATCTGTCACTAGGTTACCTCCCTCATCCTCACCCTCTTTGATCACCCTCTTATTGCTAACATGCCTGTAGAAACCTTTCTTGTTACCCTTCACATCCCTTGCTAGCTGCAATTTGAATTGTGCTTTCGCCTTCCTGATAACTCCCCTGCATTCTAAATATTTAAAATAAATTGTCTCCTTGGAGAATCTGGAGCTTTTTATAACTGTAATATTGGTTCTTGTATAAACTTGTACATAATGAGTGAATTATTGTAGTCAAAATTTGGTCTCTGATACTTTACAGGCAGTCCCCGACTTACGCGGATCTGACTTATGTCGGATCCGCACTTACGAACGGGGCTTTCTCGCCCCCCGGAGCTCACAG